GAACCCGCCACCTTAGGTGTATGTGGCTGGTGCCTTAGCCACTTGAGCCACAGGCGCCGAGCCCCCAGTACCTATTTAACTAGGTTCCTATTGTCAGCGTGGCTCACCAATGGGGAGACTGACCATCTGAGAGGTGAAGTCATGTGTCCCACTGGGAAATAGGGAGATGGAATTGAAACCTATGCCTCGATTTTTTTTTGTATTACAGAAAGTTCACCTTGGAATCACATTCACACAAAAGAATTTGTTGAAAACATATACTGTTCACAGGGTCCTGGGTGAGGTACTACAGACACGGCTTAGACTGACCCAGGTTCACAGAACTCAGTAAATGTCCAGCTGCTGGAATTAATTCACTTAGCTATGGATGGCTGGCATGAGGTTGTCCTCAGTGTTCATGAATTCCGTGTGTATTTTTTAAAGTCATGTGACATTTAAATAAGAGGGGAAATGAATAGTAATTCAGTCAACAAGGATTCATTCATTAAGTAAGTTATTTGCTGAGTGAAATGATGATGACAGGGAATGGCTTCAAAATGATTTATTGGGAGGGAGAGCAGTAAATGAATATGTCCAGTTAAATGGGAATTGCAAATAAACAAATACTTTTTGTAAGTATACCCATAAATCTCTTGTGGTATGTAGAACATACTTATCCTAAAAAGGCGTCCATTATTTACATGAAAGTCACACTAAACTGGGTGTCCTGCATTTTCTGATGACTCTGCTGGGGCTGCAGAAGAAACTAGACTGACAACAAACTGGTAAGCATTGAAGCTGGTGAGGGACAGAGCTGCCCCAACTCCTCCTGCCTGGAGGGCCAGAGCAGGGCCTGATGGAGTGGGGTGTAGGACAATATTTGGGTTAAGGAAGGAGAAGGGAAGACTTGGCCTGGGGGAGGGCCAGAGAGGCAGTCTGTGGATCTGCCCAGCAGAAAAGGATGGGAGGGCCAGGTTTTGTGGTTCATGCCTGTAAATCCTAGCACTCTGGGAGGCTGAGGCAGAAGGATAGCTTGAGCTCAGGAGTTAAAGACCAGCCTGAGAAAGAGCAAAAATCATGTCTTTAAAATAAATAAATAAATAAATAAATAGTGCTGGGCATGGTGGCTCATGGAGCCTGGGAGGCCGAGGCAGGTGGATTGCCTGAGTTCACAGGTTCAAAACCAACCTGAGCCAGAGTGAGACCTCTGTCTCTAAAAAAAAAAGTAGCTGGGCATTGTGGTGGGCGCCTGTAGTCCTAGCTACTCAAGAGGCTGAGGCAAGAGTTTGAGGTTGCTATGAGCTGTAACATCACATCACTCTACTAAGGGCAACGAAGCAAGAAAAGAAAGGAAAGAAAGGAAAGAAAGGAAGGAAGGGAGGGAGGGAGGGAGGGAGGGAGGGAGGGAAAGAAAAGAAAAAAAGAAAGAAAAGAAAGAAAAGAAGGAAAAGAAGGAAAGGAAGGAAAGGAAGAAAAGAAAGAAAAGAAAAGAAAAATTAGCCAGGTGTTGTGGTGAGCACCAAGTAGTCTCAGCTACTTGGGAGGTGAGACAGGAGAAGCCCTTGAATCCAGGAGTTTAAGGTTGCTGTGAGCTAGGTTGCTGCCATGGCACTCTACCAAGGGCAACAAAGTGAGACTCTGTCTCTTAAAAAAAAAAAAAAAAAAGGTGGGAGGATTCCCAGGCAGAGGGCACAGCTTGGGCAAAGACTTGGCAGGAGGAGACACGTCTAAATACTATTTGCTGCTGAGTGTGGTGGCTCATTCCTCTAATCCTAGCACTCTGAGAGCCTAAGGCAGGTGGATTGCTTGAGCTCATGAGTTTGAGACCAGCCTGAGCAAAAGTGAGACTCTGTCTCTAAAAAAAAAAAAAAAAAAAATAGGCTCAGCGCCTGTGGCTTAAGGGGCTAAGGCGCCAGCCATGTACACCTGAGCTGGCAGGTTCAAATCCAGACCAGGCCTGCCAAACAACAATGACAGCTTCAACCAAATAGCTGGGCATTGTGGCGGGCACCTGTGGTCCCAGCTACTTGGGAGGCGGAGGCAGGAGAATCGCTTGAGCCCAGGAGTTGGAGGTTGCTGTGAGCTGTGATGCCATAGCACTCTACCCAGGGGGACAGCTTGAGGCTCTGTCTCAAAAAAAAAAATAGCCAGGCATTGTGGCAGATGCCTCTAGTCCATTACTTGGGAGGCTGAGATAAGAGGATCACTTGTGCCGAAGAGTTTGAGGTTGCTGTGAGCTATGACACCATAGCACTCTACTGGAGGCAAGAAAGTGAAACTCTGGCTTAATCAATCAATACTATTTGGTCTTTTTTTTTTTTTTTTTTTGAGACAGGAGCCTCAAGCTGTCCCCCTGGGTAGAGTGCCGTGGCATCTCAGCTCACAGCAACCTCCAACTCCTGGGCTCAAGCAAGTCTTCTGCCTCTGCCTCCCAAGTAGCTGGGACCACAGGCGCCCACCACAACGCCTGGCTATTTTTTGGTTGCAGCCGTCATTGTTGTTTGGCGGGCCTGGGCTGGATTCGAACCCGCCACCTTGGGTGTATGTGGCTGGCGCCTTAGCCACTTGAGCCACAGGCACCGAGCCAATACTATTTGGTCTTTAAGTCTTTTAGCTCTCAGAGTGGGGAAGGCTTCTACAAACTCAAGAGCCTGGCATAGCCATCTAGTGATTTCCCCACAGACAACACTGGGGCCCAGATGACTGGATGGCATGAGAGGTTCACATCCCAGTGGGTGACCTGGCTGATACTGCTCTAAACCCCTCTAGGCATTTTTACCTCATTCTTGGGTCAGCAGAAGCTATTGAAGTTTCCAGAGGAGATGGTTACAGTAGTTCTCAACCTGTGGGTCGTGAGCCCTTTGGGGTTGAACAACCCTTTCACAGGGGTCGCCTAAATACATTCTGCACATGGGATATTTAAATTACGATTCGTAACAATAGCAAAATTACAATTATGAAGTAGCAACAAAAATAATCTTATGGTTGGGGGTCACCACAACATGAGGAACTGTATTAAAGGATCGTGGCATTGGGAAGGTTGAGAACCACTGGTTTAGAATGTATGTGGTGCTGTTTTTGATCCCAGAGATGAGAACTGTGTGGCTAAAAGGACGTTTTGGGGACCTGATATAGGGACAACGGGGCATCATGGCCTATGAGCCTGTCTTGGCCTTCACTGAACATTCCAGCAGATATCCCCAGTAGGTTGCCACCCTCACGTTGCCCACATCAGCCAGAGTCTGCTATTTATAGCCAGTGTCTGTTGTCCATAGCTATAGAACGGACCACTCAAAGCCAGTGATGCAGAAGGCCCTTGGGTTTATGCTCAGCATGTGAATCATATGGGTAGTTGGGGCTGCATTGGAGTCTTTTTTTTTTTGAGACAGAGTAGAGTAGAGTACTGTGGTGTCAGGGCAGAGTGCTGGGTAGAGTGCTGTGGTGTCATAGCTCACAAAAACCTCCAACTTGGGCTCAAGCAATCCTCTTGCCTCAGTTTTTCTATTTTTAGTAGAGACAGGGTTTCACTTTTACTCAGGCTGATCTCAAACTTGTGAGCTCAAGCAATCCACCCACCTCAGCTCCCAGAGTGCTAGAATTACAGGATTACAGGCATAAGCTACCGCAAACAGCCACCAAGCACTGGAGTCTTCACCTGAGCTCTGACCTCCCCACTTGCCAGAGCTGCCCATGAGCTGACACCCCTCCCTTAATTCTAATTTAGAACAGATGATTTGCACAAACATGTCACTGTTTATGGCATCTGTTATTAATCAACTGTAGAAATCTCCATTGCCTCATGATTGGTCCATCCATGGGGTGGTGACCATGTGGCCTGGTCTCCTCACCTAGGCTATGCCAAGATGCATGGGTCTGCCATTCAGGAGTGTCCCACACAGCTCATGGACCGAATGTGGATTGAGGATATTTTTGCTTATCTGTCGTGTCGATATCACAAAAATCATGCACAGATCTTTTTTATTTTTGCTTGTCAGCTTTCAT